GTAGGGAAAATGACATACCCTGATGCATGAGAAACTGTATTTTAAAAGGATCACACAGGATAGAGTTGCCCACCTATTACTGATACCCATCTCCATAATTTTCTCCCTGATTAGTTCAATTCAAGGACTACCATAGGAGGAGTAACATAAGTAAGCTGTGCTTTTCATCTTCCAGAGAAAACAAAAGAGCTGATTTGCTTCTCATTTCTGTTAGCAAACAAGTCATTCCCAATTTATAACAGTTAACAAGAGGAGGATCAGACACAACAGCTTAGGTTTGCAGTCATCACAATAAACACAATTCAGTAAATCATCAAGAGGATAAAACTGTTTAAAGATACGAGGAGTTAGAAACTACAGTCCTAGTGACATTGTACACTTACTAAAAACTAATGGGATGCTTTAAGTAGCCAGTGGGGAGATTTCTCTCAGCCTTGTACACAGAAGTAATGTCCTGTAGGCAACTTTCTAAAGGAGAAAAATGTGTCTCTTGTGATGTACTACCAAAAAACCACACTGTTTTATTAAGGGAATGCTAAGTGAATCAAAGTGAATAGATTCTGGTCTTACTTCCTGATTCTGCAACTACAGCTCTGTAATGCAGAGCAAACCTAGTGCAAACCACTTAATCCATCAACACCTCCCAGTGAAAATGGTAACAAATGCAATGGCAGGCAGCACATCAATTTCACAGTTTTTTTATCCTACAGGTCCCTAAAAGAAGAGCAGTTTCCATAACTACGTCTACACTGTAGGATTCCTAAAGGATGACTATACCAAAGAAGACCAATGTACTTCAGTTACCCATCTCTGACAGTGACTAGAGCAAGGTGTGCCAAGGAAGATGCCAAAATCTGCCAAGGAGAACTTTCTGTCCAACTCCAGGCTGTCCTAGTTGATGGACTGCACAAAAAAATGAGTGTTTATGTTCTTTAAAACAGAGATCAGACCTGGGTTAGCAGCAGGTTTTCTCATCATTCACCTTCAAGATCTTTTTAGGAACCAACAATTGTGCCCTCAGTGACAGGCCCAATTGTTACAAACTGACATTGAGCTAGACAAGGACTCAACACAAGCAGAGAAAGGGCAGGTCTGAGCTGTCAGTGGGTTTGTGACAGACAGAAAACACAGCTTGGAAGATGGTTCTGGAGTTTGAGAAAATAATCTCCCTCCTACCCATGAATTCACCTCACAGTGTCATGAGTAATTGTGCAGTGAGTGGGAAGGAAGGATATTACCACTTAGAAAATAAACCTCCAGAAATCCTTTAAATAGAAAAGTCACCTGTAGGGAAAATGAAACAGAAAAAATGTGGTGAAAAAAAGGAAATAGAGCATTCTAAAACAAAAGATATAATGTTAAAAAGATACAGTTTTCTAGCTGTGAAATAGGAAAAGGACATGTTCACAAAATGGAAGACCCTCTGAGGTGCTTAAATTTACCATTCTTTCTTTAAACAAAGCATTAAAGCTCTGCAAAATCAGTCTAAATAAGCCAAAAATAAGTCTGAGCAAAGGGCCAGATACTCGGCTTGAAATCCTGGCCACTGCACTGTGGATATAACTTTGTACCTACTGAGGAGCCCTGCGGGGGGATGTAGCGGGAACAGGATTTCATCCCGGTCTCTACATGATGTCCTCAACCCAAGGGTGTTCAGAAGCAGATTTTAATAACAATGAAAACATGCTAAGCTCCCTTCATGTGCTTCCTTGAATAAGGCTTACTTTCAGTTTCTGTCAATGGATAAAATAACTTCTTTTATGAAATTATGATTATAAAATGAATGAGAATACAAGCCAAATCTCACCCTGTAGAATTCTACAGAGCATAACTTTTGGATCCAAAACACTCAGAAAACCTCCACTTTGAGTTGTCTCCTTTGAGAAACGAATCCCTGAATAGTGTAGGAAACAGTGCAGGATTTATGACCTAGCATTGGACTGTACTCCTATTCATTTTGGCATAGAGGGTATTCCTAAGAGAAAGGGAATTCCTAGCCCCTACCTAATAAAATGAGGGATTTGCATGCATTTTTATGCCATGTAGAATACCTGTACCAGTAACCAGGAACTCACCTACAATGTCTAGAGCCAACTTGGACCTACTACTCCTGTTCTGATCAAATGCTAGTGATCCAGAAGTCCATCTAGCCAAAAAAACCAAACCCCCCCAACTTTTTTTCGAGATCACCCATTCCTTGTTTGTGAATCTGAAATCAGGTTGTTGCTGTAGCCAGGCATGCAGGCCCAAGACACTCTTTGTACTTGTTTCAGTACTTCCTTTGTAATATTTCTAAGCACTCTTCATGAAAACTGCATTGCAGTCTCAGAACATAGATGTTCATTGCTGGGTGCTTTGTAGTTTCATTTACTTCACACTAGCTGCTTGGCATTTCCTGGGTGTAGTAACTCCTGAAGATCTCTTATGGTATGACACCTGAGTTTAAAAAATGAGTATATTGACCTATAAATCAAAGGAAGCAGTGATGGAATTGGAATTGTATTTTAAAACACGTCTTTAGAAAAGTGAAACAGAGCAGTGAAGTTGTTAAGAAGTCTGTTGCTAGCTCCCTACAAGGCTTTCTAGATAAGCTGCTTAAGCCAGGCATGCCTTCTCAATACATTTTTTAAAAAGGATGTTTTCATCATGTGGTTGAAGGCTTCAGTAATTCTGAACAGCTTCTTAATCTTCCTTCATTACAGAGTTTGGTTTGTGATGGTTGGATAGTCTTAAGAAGAAAGCACCCCAGGATGAGGACAGACGGGGCATTGACAGCAGTGTGGCCTCAAGCACGTGGCCGTCGCTGCACCTGCCCGAGCCAGCCAGAGGCTCCTACATGGAGCAGCTCCTGTTGGATCTAAGCTGCAGCCACATGTGCAAGCCTGCTATGCTGTCTGGATTAATTCAAACTGGAGAGAGGACTACATGCTGAGAATTATTTCCAGCTCATAATTATGTATTATGAGGACTTTCGCATTGGAAGTGGCAGATTTATTAAACTGCAGTCATACAAAGTTCCAAAGCATGAGTCTGAGCTATCCTGTTGCCCCGAATAACTGACATCAATTCTATCATTTCTAGATAACTGAGAAAATTGATATGTCAACTGCTGCATCACAAGTGAAATCTGACTCAATGGCTCAGTGCTAAGATGAAATACATTCATATGGAAGGCTATTTTTAATATAAAACTCTTAGCTGTTCCCTACTGCATTGCTTAAAGCTAAAAATACATCGGAACTGTCTTCACAGGGATCTTTGCTTTGGATGAGGGACTATAGTTGTCCTGTCATTCTTTACTGGCCTGTTATTGTAAATTGCCTGTTCATCTTTGAATTTAGTTGCCTCACAGATCTTTCATCTGGAGACGTGCTCAGGAAAGTGATACTTTCATGGCCTTAGACTGACAAAGACAGCATCTTCACAAAGCCACAGATGTGCTCTGCACATTAAGTGCATGATGTCTCAAACTCCCTTAGAAATCCAAACAAGAAGGAACATATATTCCATTTTAAATATAATTGTTACAAATGCTGTAGGCCCCAAGCTCTGTCTTCACTACAGATCTGGAACAAGTGCACTGACATCCTAGACTCTTCTCAAATTACATCATGGTAATTAATATCAAAAAAACACATCTATTTGCGACTACCAATACATTTGGTAGTCAATATAAGTCAAAATCCAGGAGATAACCACACTCTCATGGATTAAGGCTGAGGTAATGTCTGCATTCCACTGAAGTCACCCAAAAGAAGCTTTCATTTCCTAAAGAACTGAAACCGAGATTTTTCATGTGTGTTTTCTGATCCATCATGTAAAGCTGAACAGGGTGGGGGAAAAAGCTCTGTAAGATGACAATTTTTTTAAATTTATTTTGATGGGTAACAAGTCACATTGCTAGAGAACAACTAACTTCACTTCTCTTTAGTTTTAGCAGGTATTTCCACACCTGTTCAGAGAAGAGATGCCCTTTGTCTTAAGAAATTTTACAGGCCACATGAGGATCCACATTCCTTATAAGCATAACTAATCCAGTTTTAAGTGCAGTGCTTTTAAGAGCATCACTGAAATGCCTTCAGCCTCAGACAGTGGCACAGCACCCTAGAGAGCTGCTAAAATTCCAGCTCAAGTAGAAAGACAGGTTAAAGAGAGGGAGTCTTATTTCTAGTTAGAATACTATAATGCTTTTTGAAGCACATGGCAGCAACATAACTGTGTTTTAATATCTCAGGCTATGCACCCCATACTCCAATGTACTGTTTATGGAAGTCCATGCCAAGAAAATATGAAATTGTAAGCCAAAAACTGCATAGTGTGATTCAGAATAACAACCCATGTATAAACTTACTTAAATATAACCCAGTACATTTTTTCATTGTTTTTCTTCCACAGCTTAATAAATTACCTGCCTCTCTGCCTTTACTCCACAGTGCTTGCTTAATAGAGGATATACAAGCTTGGCTTTAAGCAGAGAAAAACTTCCTTTTCTGTATGCTACGTTACATAAAATTCAACATAATGTCTTTAAATGACGGAAAAACAACAATTTCTGGAAGTTGAGCATGAATATACAGAGGTCAGCAAATAACCATCAGTTTTAAAATGCATTCAGAATGCAGATCTCAAGCACTGGTAGAAAAGGAAGGGAGCCACACATCACCTACATTACCTCACAGCTATTAGCATGCAGGTCCAGAGGCAGTCCCTATAAGAACACCAGCCACCCAGTGAGAACTCGGCAACAGTTCTGTTGGATACTCTGTGTCTGTCGCAGGAAAAGGGCAACTTTGAAACTTAGATGTGCAAACAGCTTTAAGGGACTAGACAATCTCTTGGCTGATGCATCAAGCAAAAATCTGAAACTACAAAGCAGGTAATTTACCAAATACTTTCCTTTTTAGCTGATTTTAACTTTTCTTCTAAAGATTGCTCTGAGCCAAACAGCCAGTGTGATATTCTTAGAGCTGCTGTCCAAGGACTTCATCAGAGGTGACAGAAACCTGCCAATAAAAGAGGTAATATACTTATTCTCTCTAACTTTGTAAAATTTTGCATTTATTTTATGTTCTGAAGATATAAATTAAGATGAATGGCTGCTATACTACTATTAAAGATGTATTCCATTCTACTGAAGGAGCTCTGCTTACTGAAAAATAAATCCGTGATAAGTGTATTAGGAATTCCTGTTCTAGCTAGAAGGAATAGAAAAACATTTAGTATCTGGGCAAGAGGTATCAGAGAACATGATTATTACTATTATGTCTCTTAAAAAAATATGAGGTGCTTACCCAATGCAAGAAATCTCTCTGACCAACAGAGTTTACCTGTCTTGCTGTACTGACATACACAGACATGCAGGCATTTGAAATGTATAGAAACAGATACTAAAAAACTAATGGAGTATTAAAGTTGGGTTTTAAGCAAAGGTGGAATGAAAGTGCTGCAAATCCCAGTACTATTTTAAAATGAACCCTTAACAAAGAGAATTGCCTGGTGGAGATTGTTAGTGCAGGTATGTGTGTGTGTACACCCTGTGGGAAAATAGGTAACATAAAGTTCAAAAGAGAAATTATTTTTGCCTCTTGGCAGAAGGCAAAGTAAAATCACTGGCTTTCAGAACTATTAACATCAGGAAGTTAAGTGTTTGAAATGTTAATATTTATTCTCCCAGAAAAATGAAGAGGTGCCTGGTTTTCATTATGAATAATTTACAGATTCTTTGAGAATATAAAATAAACTGAGCAGAAAATAGGAAGGACCCTCATAAGAGACTTCAATCTCTATAGAAGTGCCATATTTCTTTTTCAGTGTCTGGAAATATTGCCATTATTGCTAGGTTTGTTTGCTCCATCCTCCTTCCCTGTTGCTCTCTCTCTCTCTCTCTTTCTCTCTCTCTCTCTCATTGAAGCTGCAGGAACCCCTGTCCCACAATGTCACCTCTCCAGCTGCCACTGCTACTCCTCTGCCTGACCTTGTGTGGTGTTTGCCTCAATGGTGGGCAGCCCCTCCCAGAGAGAAGTGAGAACATGGGAAGAGGTCCCCTGGATGACATCCTGCAGACATCTGAAAGCCTCCTTCTTCAGTCTGTCCTCAAGAAATCTGAAAAGGAAGAAGAGATTAATAAGGGTAAATATAAAACACTAGGGACATCCATTTGGTTATGTTGTCATAGTACTTGGCTGAGATAATGAGATCCAATGTATAGTTCCCAGGTTCTAATATACAGATTAATTATCCTAACTAAGGGGAGGGGAAGGATAGGAGGTCTGCTGCAATACATCAACACAGAGTTCTCCAAAGGTGCTTGTTTCTCCAAGATCTCCCCACTTAGGCAATGTTGGACCATAACCGAGCAGCTGCTGCACAGTAAGAAGGTAGAAGCCTGTCACAGAAAATTTGCTTGTCTGGCTAGTACTTCCCTAGGGAAGCTCTAAAAGGATGCATGGAGGACATTCTCCAGTTCTGGACACTGTACCTCATATGTTAACTGGAGGAGGGACTGCTGCCATTCCCCTGCTACCTCAATCCACTGGTTTCTCCAGCCCACCAGAGGTGGGCTTTTCTGTGGCTGGGAAGGCAGAGCCTGCTCTATAGTCCCCCACCTCCTGGCCTGCAGCAGCTATACTCTCACTAGTCACAGCAGTGGGAGCAAATCAGACCTGGGGACTGAAGAAGCAGAACACAGGTGCCTGCCACCAGCCAGGAGCACAGAGCCCTTGCAGAGTGGAAAGAGGAGCTGGCCCCAAGTGCCCACAGAGTGAGACTTCCTCCTCTTCTCATAAATGGTGAGAGCTGGTCATGTCGATTCAAGACTTGAAATATTAGAAAGAGCTTAAGAACAAGTAAGAGATACTAACAGAGTTATGGCTGGTTGCTGGAAATACTGAGCTGGCTTTCAAATGTCCACATCTCTGCTTCTACTTGTGTCTCAGCCCTGTCCTTTCCCTGTCTCAAGCTGATGTGCAGCTCTTCCCTGTACCCAGCTTCTGCAGCTGATTTCTCACAGCTGCTCAGCATCTTTTACTCACCTTCCTTTTCCTGAGTCTGACACATTTACCAGAATCAATTCATCAGGCTTTGTCATTGGATGTCTTCTCATTTGCCTGCAGCCAGCTCCTAATGTATCAATCCATCCTCACTAAAAATGTGCCAAAACTGCTTTGAGAGGTGCCATCCAGATTATAGAGTTAACTGCAATTACGTGGGAATAATGAGCAACAAATTGTAATCCTGCACCAGAGAACTCCACAAATTCCCATTTAATCTTTCTTAGTGAGGATTATGGGGGATTATTAACACTATTCTTTTCCTTGGACAGAATCAAATCTGCCAGAATGGTTTTCCAAAAGACAACACCCTGGAAAAAAGTACCTAAGTGACCTGGAGAAGAGACAGCATCCTGGAAAAAAAGATTTTGAGGAAGACAAATCTTACGGAGACATTCAGAAGAGGCAGCACCCAGGAAAAAGAGAGATAGAGGATGACCTTAGCAGCTATCTGGAGCTGAGAAAGCAACAGCATCCTGGCAGAAGGTCACAGCCAGATCAGAACACTGACATCCCTAGTGCACAGCTAACCTACTTGAACGAGTTATCCAAACGGCAGCATCCAGGCAGAAGGTCCCTGACCTACAAGCACCAGCGTACCCGCCAGAGAGGCTGGAATGCTGAGGTAGGCCTAAGAGACCCATACCATGAGAAACGTCAGCACCCTGGAAAAAGGCACTGGAATTCTGACAGCCCAGATGATGCAAGGCCCTGTGACTTTCAGGATTCCTCCACCTGTAACCAAGGCAGCTTGCTGCTTGATTTTGTAGCAAATGTTAGCAAAGACAGGGTAGAAGAGAAACGTCAGCACCCAGGAAAGAGATCAGCATGGGAGAGCGAAACAGAGGAATGAGAGAATAGTTGTGTATTGTTCGCATTTGGTGAAGTAAACTGCCAGATCACTAAAACATTCTGTTCACTCCCTTTAGGCTTCCTGCTACTTACCTCCGCACCTATTTTTCAGTGCATTAATGTTCCCATTTAAGTTAATGGCTTTGTCACGTGCTTAAAGGAACTAAAGGATCGAGTAGAATGGGACAGGCAAGTACTGAGAGTCTTCAACTCCCTCACTTTAGAAAGTTAAGAGTGCTCATTTCCCTATGGGCCAAGACCCCATCATAGTCCCACTGTGTGTGTCCTATTTTCTGCTCCCAGATGACTAAAACAGGGTCTTAAATATCTGTTCTGATGCTACTTAAGTGGAATAATTATATGGTTTCCTCTCATGTCAGTGAAATCAGGAAATTAATAGAGGAAGAAAAAAAGAACATGTGCCAATTCTTTCAAAATTAAATTGAAGAGGTTTTCAATTCCAAATTATGCATTACTGAGACCTGAACCCTTGTACACTACCATCTGACCAGAAAGTAAGCACTAAACAGAGATAGGAACTTTTCCAGCTGGAACAGAACAGATGACTGACTCCATAGTTTGACTGAGACCTGGCATACAGAACCCCTTCTCATCTAAGAGGCTGCACAGTGTGAAGGGTTAATGCACCCCAGAGCATCTCCACTGCAACTGTGAACCTGACTGCCTACCCCTGTGCTAGGACCCCCACCTTTGATGTGTCCACATTTCAGTCCTGTCACTTGAAATCCTGCTTTCTCCTCAGACATTTAAATATAAACCAAGCTTCCAATAAGGATTTCTGCTATCTCTCCTCTCAAAGGAATGCTTTTACTCTCCATGGCCAGACTCCTAAAAGTGTTCATTTGATATGAATGATTCAATAAAGATTAGTTGTCAACTCTGGGTGTCCTTACTGGTTGTGCAAACATACTGTAAAAACATACTGAAAAACATAAAACCAGCCCAAGCTAATAGATAGATAGATAGATAGATAAAGACAGATAAATTAATTGTCATCAAAAGGTGTTTTTCTGGCCACAATCTTGCATGCTGGTGGTCAGCACATGTACACATGTAACCTCAGTGCACTTTATTATCTATTATTATCTATCTATCTATCTATCTATCTATCTATCTATCTATCTATCTATCTATCTCTTACTGAAAAGGAAAGAGTATGCTCTCTTCTCAGTGTGGCCAGTGAAAAGCTATCAGAACTGATTTTATCCAAGTCTAATTTTCCATGTTCTGTATTTTAGGTTCTGAGTGCTTCAGTACTTTCAGAGATGCTAAGTTCTGCCAGGGTCAGTCATGACTTAAAAGCAAGGCTATCACTACTATATTTTTAAAGGAATTATTTCTATTGGTTTTGAATAATTCTGTTGGGTATTTTAGTTTGTTGGGTTTTTTTAAAGCCAAGCTTGAGCTGACAGCACTTTACAGTAAAGCAGATTTATCATATCATTATGATTATATGTGCAGTTTTTAAACCTTGCTTCATTTTGGAGTTGCTGAAACTTCACTTGCCTGGCTGGGAGAGGCACAATGAAAGCAGATAGTGGGAGAGCTCTGATCCATTTCAATTACTTAAAGCAAAAGGTCTCTGGAGAATGACAGAAACGCTCTCAGGGATTCCTGGACAGGGATGGGGTCACATGTGAAAGTTCCATTTCCAGGTTGTGTAGGCCAGTATCCAGTTTAAATGAAAAGACACAGATATCCATTCAGAGAAGCATCAGTATCGGTCCCGATGCTGGCCTGACATGTCCATGAACAGAAAACAGAATAATTTGGAGGCTGAAACATGAGCCTAAGGTCCTGAGCTTCTGTCAATGACCTGGGTTTGAAAATCCTAGAAACTCAAAGAGGACAGACACAGATGTACTTGCACATTCTGATAACTGTAGAGCAGGGCCTTTCAGTTCCTTGATGAAGTGCATTGTTTGTCTGTAAGGCAGTTTATGGCCCCTCAGGAATGACAGCAAATCAGTAAGTGGTCCAAAGGTTATGGAAGTCAGTGGAAAAATCTCCCATGTCCTCTGCTGAATCTGGATTAGGTCCACAAAGCAAAGCTGTGCACTGGCCCTAACTTGGCTCCACAATCATGCAAAATCTCATTTCCAGCTTTAATTGAGATGAAAACAACTGTGCACAGATGAGCTCTTTGTTTATTCTACTGCAGTTTTACATTTCTGGCATGTTACGAGTTATTGAGACATAAGGGAGTTTGATTCATAAAGAGCAACTTCTACAAGTGTCTTCAAAATGAGCTTTTGTTTCAATGGGAGGGGAAAGTTAACGTGAACAAGCTGTATAATTAACATTTCCTGCAACTATGTTCAAGTCCTCTCACCATTACTGTCCTCTGTACCCCCTCCCACACACTCAGCAGTCTGAGCTCTTTGCTAATCCACCGTAATTAGCATGGACCAAGTGTTTCCAAGGGACATGTGGCCCCAACAAACCCCTTTATTATTACTTTTAATGACTCATTAGTTGGAGAAAGTTTGAAACAATATCATCACCATAGCTGGAGTCACTGCCTACCTGGTAACTCAGTTAACATTAAAGAGCCAACTGCAATTTTAAAGCATCAGCCAGGACATGGCCACGAGTAAAAACTATGATGAAAAGCAGCAAAGTGGGGAAGCATGGCAGGGTGGATGAGCCTGGGGGAGGCCTAGGCTGAACAGAGACACCACGCAGAAGATGCAGACAGGGAAATCCTTGGTGGTTTTAGGAAATCCTTGTGGTTTTAGGAAATGGATATGTGGACTACCTGCATTAGCATGCCAAAAGGCAGGCAGCTCCAGGTAATTTCACAGAATCACAGAACTGTCAGAGTTGGAAGGGACCTCTAGAGAACATCTAGTCCAACTCCCCACTAAAGCAGGACCGCACTTGAAGTCTGACACAGTGCACTCAGAATCTGACATGAGCCCTGAATTGAATCTGGACATCATTGCCTGTGGATTTGACAGTTAAAACATTAAAGAAAGTGTAAATGCAAAGGAATATTGAATTTCCCTGTCTCCTCTTTATAATTTACCTACTTTGTGTAAAAGTGGTGCCATTCCATGGCACTCAGGACCAATATGCCAGATTCTTCAGCCTGCCAGTACTGAAGCAGTTAATAAGCAAATCAGATAAATGGGGCTCAACAAGTTGTCAGCTGCAGCTCTTACAAACCATCATGCTGTCAGTTTTGACTGACGAGTCTGCAAACACAGGAAAAATCAAGGGTTTGGCATGGAAATGTAGCTTCTATCCTCTTTACACAGACTAATTAAACAAATTTGTTTTGTATCAAAATGTTTACTGCAAGTAACTCGAGTATATTTTTGTATTTTGTTAAAAGGAACAGTGATACATAAATTTTTTAGTTCTTTGAACAAAAGGCACAGAAAGTGTTGATTTAGATCTACCTAAACAAGCAAATAAAAATGTTTTCTAAGATAAATTAAAATAAAATATAATTTTATGTTGTAGGAAGTATTTTGTGCTACCTATTTCAATGTTAGGAGATTTAAAATGGATTTTTAAAAAATTGTCATAAAATCATAAAATTAAATTTAAGCCAATTTTTAAAACAGCATAAATTTTAATTAACTAGCTTTTACTTTAGGGAATACTTAGCAAGAACATTCTTCTTTTCCACTCTGCTTCCACCACAAAGACTATACTGAACTCAGCACTGCTAATTTCCGGATATTTTACACTTCTTTTTTTTTAGCAAGCAAGCCATATTTGTGCAGAAATATTCCACTGCATTCCTTCAGAAGTAAACAGGCATCACCAAGAATGACTTCTAGTCTACATTTACCTCTCCTGTACCAGAGTCAGATTCCACTATTTAACATTCCAAATGGCACTGACAACATTACAAGAAGTCAGAGAATCCATGCAAACCCAAGTGGAATTCATTACAGACAGGACTGTGCCATGGTTACTGGGCTGACTATCCCTCTTCGCAGCTGCATTCCCACTGAAGTCTCTCCTCTTGGACATTAGTTGCAGTGACCAACTTAGCAACAGACCAGGTCCTAAAATTCACTGTGTTATTTCAACAGCTCACAGACATATTTTACACCTTATTTACTCCATATTTGCAAAGGACCTCAAGTGCAGCAGACCAGGAGGAGTTACACACTGTGCTCAGTGCTGTTGCTTCTTCACGCTGATCCACAATGGTGAACCATTCCTGATTCCAGTTCAGTCCCCAACAGGATCTGCAGCATTTCAGTAAGGTTTAATTAATCCCCAAATACAATACCTCTCTTCCTATTGCAACTAGATGGGTTAAGAAATTAATCTTTGGAGGAAATTTTTCAAGCTTCCCTTTGGCAGTGGACAGACTCCACTCAACACTGGCCTGCTGGCTTTGTGTTATCGCTACTGCAGCTCCAAGAGACTCCCAGTAACAGTCTCATACTCTCATAAAGATCCAAATCATATCCAAAAGGTGCAATCATTTAATGGGGAAGGAGTTCCTCAGGCAGTGCTAAGACCATTTATATTCAGAAACATGCAAACAAATGGCATTTTTCTTTGAAAATGTTGAATGAAATTTCTATTTCCAAGAGTGCTTGACACAACATGGTACTTTATCAGTAATTCAAAATGATTAATTTGGTAAGATGGGCTCTCATAGTCTGTGTTCAAATGCAGAAAATTAACTAACTAAGGATTCAGTGAAGTTTGATTTCTAGTTCACATCCCAGCTTATCATCTTTCTCACTGTATTGTTTGTGTCCCAGTAGTAGGGTATTAGACTTCAAGTGTTGTGTTCACCATTTTAATAAGCCTTTAAGACTTTCCTTTCTAAAATGAGCAGTTACTGAAGCTGGAGAAAAGGCAGGTTTAAGGGAACAGCTTGCTGTTCGCTACGGTGTCTCTTCTCCTTATACCTGACTCTTTCTACTTCTGAATGACAGGAGACCGAGCTGCCTGGGTCATCAGGACCTCACAGCTCAACGGGCAGGGCTATCCTGCCTGCTGCAA